CTGCAGACGCCGGCTGGATGAGCGACGGTGGCGTTCTCCGGCGTCTTCTTTGGCTGGAGAAGAGAGAGAAGAAAAAAAAACTGAAATCAGTTTTCAGAAAACGAAAACGTGAAAATGAAAACGTATTTTTTTCGTTTTCAGTTTTTCACAAAAAGACAAAAATATTTTTGTTTTTATTTTCTAACATAAACTTCACCAAACGCGTTTTTCATTTCTGTTTTCAATTTTTTATTTTAAAAAATGTGAAAAATAAAAATAAAAACGGTAACAAACAGGCCCAAAAACAAAGAAAGTCTATAAAGTATGTGTGAGTTTCAAAAAACCTCTACCGACAATCCCTCCTTTTTATGTGTGAAAAGAGCTTCTTTTCTTACTATGTCTTTTCCCCTCAACTTGCTTTCACTGTAGCAACTATTGTCTATTTATACTATTTGAAGCTTATCCCATCTGATGAATTACAGAAAGAAAGAAAAGACTGAAAAAGCGTCTTAACAGTCGTCATCTGCCCAACTTTCTTTTTGGATGCAACCTATGCACGTTATTGCCTTGTATCATGTTAGTTCATGAATTAAAATAATGTGATTAAAATTATTTTTAATTTATATATATTTTTTATAAGAAAAAATATTATAATAAATCATGAATCATAATTTAAATTTTCTAATCAAACATCACAGTCCAAACAACCAAAAAAAAAAAAAAGAAGAAGAAAATCCCAAGTCCAAAGGCAAAAAAAAAAAAAAAAAAAAAAAAAAAAAAAAAACAAATCTGAAAACTATAAAAGTATTCCAATTCAATGGTTAAGATGTGGCAGCAGATATGATAGTGAGGTCACGACAGCCGGTGACGTATGAGTATAGTTATTGAGACGGCGAGTTGAGAGAGTGAAGAGAGTCTCTTAGTGGGAGTGAGTGTAGAAGAGATGAGTTTTGGAAGAAATACTTTTAAGTATTGACTGAAAGAATTAGAAAGAGAGAATTAGGGTGCGAGGAAGATAGAGATGGTGGGATTTGAGAGAAAAAAAGCGTTCGCAAGAGAGTGCTCAAAGTTATAAAAAAAAAAAAATATCAAAGCTTTAAAAATTATTAGAAAATGAAAGAGTGGGAAAATTTTCATTTTTTTTTTTATAAAAATTTTGACATTAGATGACTGTTTTCAAACCGTCGTCTAATGTGCTACAGTATAAGACGGTTTTTCTTTTCACATTAAGAGGACAGTATTGAGTGAAACCTTACAATAAGTTGCTATCATTGAGAAACTACCCCGCATAAAAGGATTTCAATAACTACCTTAAGCACAAGCAAAAGGAGATAGAACATCGATCAACTACTCGTTTAACTTCGAACTGAAGAAAGCATTCCCTTAAAATATACTCTGAAGAGAAATCTTAAAGATTTTTTCCTTTTATATGCAACATATTTTACGCATATTTCTCCCACTGATTTTGCGAAAACTTTGCTCTTACTGGAAATTATATTGCTTTTTCTAAGATATATGTATTTGATAATTTTTTATAAAATAGAAATACAAATGATTACAACTCGACAAAAATATGTATAACCTAAAATTACTTTCTAAAATTTTTTTATAACAATATTTGGTGCACTTGGAGGCGATCCTGCCGATCTTCTTCTTTTTTTTTTTGGTTAACCTGTACATATACACTTTTTTGCTTGTAGTTTTCCCCTTTTTAATTAACCGAAATTCTTGCTTCGACAAATGGGATAGAAACATTTTAGCGCAATTTCTTGTAATACGTGACTATGATTTTTATGGTAAAAATTTATTGAAGTGCCAGTGATAACTAATCTAGCTAGCCTTTTTACTCCGAAATTCAAATGCCTGTTTCGTATGAAGGAATTAGGGATTTGAAATTATCAAAAGTTGGATATCAAGAAAAAAAAAAAAAAAAAGTTGCATCGGTAATAGTTTTTCGTTTTGATAATGTTGATTTCCATTTTAACATTTGTGCCTCAAAAAGAAAGCAGCGAAAAGGGAAAGCTTTCGTTCCTAGGCATCTTTTGTCCAGGAAGAGAGCTTTTGCATTTGATCGGTAAATATAACATTTAGGATTAATTACAAAAAAAAATTCTTTAACTATGTCTCGTGTAATATTTTGTCCCTCGATCCTCCAAACGTACCATCCATTTCCCTAAATTATGAATTTAAAAAAAAAAAAATACTATTTCATTTAATGTTTTTGATGGAATCGCCACATGTCACACAAATATTACTTGTCACTAAATAATTTGGTGCACAATTACTCTTCTACCTATGATTTTTTTATTTATATTTTTTAAAAATAAATTTTAGTTTTAGTTTAACATGATAAAAAATAAAATTAAAGAATAAAACGCAATTTTTAGTTTTACTCTTCTAATTAACTAACAAAATGAAAATTACATAAAAAATTTTAATTCTTAATTTGTAATATTTTTTCTAAAAACATGTAGAATTATCAAAATACCCCCAATTATAATCACTTCTCTATTAGCTAATTGAAGGAAAGAGCATTTTTGTTAGCGATTTGTAATCGAGAGAGGACGGGTGTTACGTTTTGAATTAATCATAACATTTATTTATTGGTTGGGGGGGAATTTGAATTGTAATTTAAAGTTTACTTTTAGTAATTTAATCTTACTCAGGACATTGACAAGAAGAACATCCTGGCCGTTCAAACACTACGGAACAACCTCATGGGATCAACCCTGATGGCCACCACATCGATTCTCCTTTGCACAGGTCTAGCAGCAGTCATAAGCAGCACATACAGCGCGAAGAAACCACTAAACGACACCATTTATGGAGCTCATGGTGAAATCATGGTGGCTCTAAAATACGCAACGGTCTTAACTATTTTTCTCTTCTCATTTTTCTGCAACACTTTATCAATTAGGTTAATCAACCAGTTAAGCATCCTTATATGTAGCCCCTTAGAACCGTCGTCAATTTTGACCTCTGAGTATATTTGTGAGCTTCTAGAGAAAGGTTCGGTTCTCGACATTGTGGGAAACAGGCTTTTCTACACGGCTCTTCCTCTACTGCTTTGGATATTTGGTCCAGTTTTGGTGTTCTTGTCTTGGGTTGCTATGGTGTCGGTGCTTTACAATATGGACTTTCTTTGTGCAAACAGTTGTGTGCAGGGAAATGGAAAGCAAACAAGGGAAGGAATTAGTGGATAAAACCAATAAAATTGGTAGAGAGATTGTTTCAGTAGTAGTAGTTGTCTACCCTAATACGTTACTCTTTTCAAATTATTTACTAGTGTTATCCTCTTCTTCCCCATGTTCACACATACACACTTCTTTGCCCTAATTATGTACCAAAAAAACTTTTAATCAAAACACACACTTATACTGCTCATACTGGATGATATTTGTATGTCAAAATAAAGCTAATTTCCGAGTATGTATATTTTTCGCAGTGGGTTGACAACAAATGTTGATCCTTTTATTAAATTTTAATCTTTTGTCTTCTCTTCTCAAATACATTCATCCAATATCTTCTATATTAACTTTATAAGTGTCTATAACCGATCTATTCCTGGAACAACTTTCAGATCAATCAAGAAATTTTGGAGCCAGGTTGCTTTCCTTTACTGCTTCAAAGTTACAACACATTAACTCTTAATGATGGGTTTAGCAATCAAACTTTGACCAACGGCCTTTCGTACCATGATTCCTTCACCTAATGGGAACACAGATTTAGATGTCAACTCTCGAAATCCACACCTAACTCGTAGCCAGAGTCTATGTATCTAGTGAAAAGAGAATTCTTTCACTGACCCAACTATCTTATAGCTTCTTGCTTTCCTCATACACCTAAGGATACATTATATCATTACCCAATGATCTAATCTTGAGTTTAACTGACAACGACTGACCACTCATACTGAATATCAGATATCCAAGCAAGCAAATAACAAGAACATGTGCTTTTGTTGTGTATAGTGTCAGACACATTGTAACACCCCGAAGAATTAAACAAGATAAATTGAGGTAATTAAGAATTATTAGTGTGCCTAATCTAATTTAATTAATTGATTATTGATTAATAAATATTTTTCACGTGTAAATTTAAATAATTCCAAGGTATTTAAATATTCTCAGTAATTACATTTTTACCCAGAAGTGTGTATGGGCACGTTTCTGGACTGTCATTTTAAATATTTTGACACCTGTCTTTTCTTTTCTTTTCTTTTTCCTTTTTTCTTCATTTTCTTTTTCCTTTCTTTCCTTCCCTGCCCGTGCGACCCTCTCTCCTCACTCTCGTTTTCACTCTCTCTCTCTCTCTCCCATTTTTGTCTCAAACCAACTGAATCTCGAACCAAAGAGGAATTTCAAGAAGTTTTCAATGCCAAGAGAAAGATTCGAGGTAAGATTTCTGAAAAACTTCTGTTGAATCACGGATTTCCGGATTTAAAAACTTATTTTTGGTTCGAAATGGATTTTGATGGATTTTGAGTAAAACTATGGTAGAAATTGGAGATCTTGGGTTCTTTGGACTTGATTCAGTACCTAGAACCCAGATCTAGTGGTTTTCCCTTGAGATATTTCAATTTGGGACTTGGATTTGCAGGTTTTGTGCTGATTTTCTTCGGATCGGCCCTTCTGGCCATCCTGCCCTGATTCCACCGGTCGACTTGTGCGGTCGACCGGTTTGCACTACATCAGGTCGACCTGTGCGGTCGACTGAAGTGCACACCACCGGTCGACCGGTGGTGTTGCACTGCACTGTCACCGGTCGACCGGTGTACACGAGGTTTAATCCTGTTTTGCTTGAAAAACCCTGTTTTAACCCTGATTTTGAGGAGAACCCAAATTAGCTTCATTTGGGCACCTAGAATGAATGGATTAGCATCTTTAATCCATCTTTTGAGATTGAAAACCCTTGGAATGATGATTTGAAACATGAGTTGATTAATGAAACTTGAAAATTGATTAACGCATACTAATAGGAAATCAAATGGTATAATTGAGATTGAAATTGCTTCAGGAAGGTGAATTGGATCCTAAAGCGTGGTTTTGTATCAGTGCTAGCTGAGGACTCGGATTGAGAGGCTTTGAGGAAGCGAAAGCCGGAATAGTGTAACGCTAGCCAGGTTTGGTACTTGTGAGGTAGGATTTCTTACCCTTTTCTTTGTGAGCCTATTTTCAAAAGGATTTTTGGCCTTGCAATTGTTTTAAAGAAAGGGCATGTTTGCGAAAGAAAAATATTTTAACCCCTATAGCTTGTGTAGATTATGGGGAGTATAATGAACTGTTTCATAAAATTTAATGAATGATTCCTTAAGACAAGAGATCTTGTGAATCGGTAAACCGGCTGATGGCCTAGATAGGATGTGGAGAGTGCATCCTTGGGGCCAGGACCCGAACCCGGCCCGGGGTGATATGGCTTGTGCACTTAGTTGTGTAAGTAATTTATCATAGTATAAATTAATTGCTGATGCCTATAATACAGAGATTTTCAGTTATATTTCCTTTGAGAAAAATGATGTGAGGTTTCGGCTATTGTGTTGGAACTGAATGTCTTATTTATTTATTTACTTGCTTACTCATTTATTTACTTATTTACAAAGTTATTTTAAAATATATCATACTGGGCCTTTCACTCACGTTTCATTGTTTTATAAATGTTAACCCCTCCCAGGCGATTCTAGAAGCAGTGCGGAGTAGCTGAGTTATTACCACCCGATTAAGGGAGGATTGTGTTCATCCTCCTGGTGTACGAATGTAAGAATTTATAAATCTGTAAACTATGATATTTAGATTTCTAGACTGTGGTTGATGTCTGTAATGTTTTATTTACGTGTCATGTATGTACGATACTGAAGATCCTGTGGATAGATCCTGTAGGTGTAACCCTAAACAGTGTTAGAGGCGGAAGTTTTTAACCTCTTTGAGATGTTCTTGTAATTTATTTTCTGCACAATAGTGGGGCTCGTTTGGGAATTTTCTTAATATTTTATTCTCATTCGTGTTTAACTCCTAATCAAGCCTCCACATCAGTGACCCTTGCCCCGGGGCGTGACACACATGATATATCTTGGTCTTGATCAAATCTATAAGGCTTAATAGCCTTATCACAGATGTCTGCTTTAACACCATGAATGGATCTTTTGTAGTTTTTCACAGACTTTCTTTTATCAACCTTAAATTATAAACTCTTTTATTACATCAAGTAAATAGTTTCTTCAAGACAGTCATTCATCAATGTCGTCTTGCCAAATTTCATAATCTAGGTATACTGCAAATGATAAGAGTATTCAGATAGACTCAAGCATGACTATGGGCGAGAAAGCATCTTTATAGTGTGTTCCCTCTTTTTGGGTCTAACCCTCATCTACAAGCGTAGCTTTTCCAAGTCATCATTATTCCATCCGAGTTCTTGGCTTCTTGTGTTTTTCTTATAAGAATCCTCCATTACCAACTGCGAAGAGAGTCCAACTGGCCATATTCATGGATATAGTACTTACATGCAGAATCGGGGTACCCCCCAAGCAAAGATGTGCCAAGCATTCTCCCTGATGCTGACTAGACCAGCACTTCAGTGGTTCCAATAATTGCAGCCAAGGTCAATCTGCTCATTTGAACAGTTGAAGCAGCAATTTGTAGGGCGTTTCCTAATTGCCAAGGCTCACAAGAACAACAAGATTTACCTGTACTCCCTCAAACAAGGAGTTGATGAGTCTCTGAAGAGTTATATTGAACGCTTTAGTTAAGAGATGAACTACATGAAGAATTACATTGATATTAATGTTGCGGCCTTGATTTGAGAGGGGCTCTAAGAAGGTGGCATGTTAAGGTCAATTTGCAAAAAACAACCAAAGACCTTTGCTGACCTTGTAATTCACGCACAGAGGTTTATTAGCAGAGAATAATACATGCAAAATCGGAGAGGACAATTCCAAGTGGGCACGTCAAAAAGTGACGGAAAGCGCAAGGTAAAAGAAGGATCTAAAGAGGGAAAATGAAGAAGCGAAAGTCAGAGGCACGGCCGGATACAAACAAATCCAAGATAGCCCTAACACAAAAGTATCAAGCTTATACGCCATCAGATGCAATAAAGACCTATACACCTTTGAATACTACTGTGGCTCAAATTCTAATGCAGATTCAATATCTAAATTTGCTGACCTCTCTAACCCCTATGAAACGAGATCTTAACAAAAGATCATGACCATGATATCTCGAGTTATTTTCAATTGATAGGACAAATCGAGGTACTAATTCAACGGGGCTAGTTACAAGAGTTTGTGAACAGGATTGCCGCAGAAAGAAAAATCACATTGCTTGCGGTACGACAACAACCGACAGTTGCGCAAGGAATAAATCCTACAATCAGAGATAATCCCCCATTGAATGAGGTTCGGACCATTTTCTAAGGACTAGAAACTGGTGATTCCATTCGAGCATGAAATCTTGTATGCTCAAGAGGCTAAAAGATATGATTGTGGCCACTATGTCAATATGACAGAGCATGTGGCAAAGTTTTCCAAGATGGAAAATGTTTCCATAACATTTACCGAGCAAGATGTGCGGGCAAGGAAGCTACTGCGGGTTCCCGAATCGAATTCGGGTGCGGAAGCGTGGTGGGGAAATAGTGGATCGTGTATAACAAAAATTTTCATAAAACTTTTGAGATACTCTATAGATTATATTAATTTTTGCACGAATAAATTAATCACATTAATTTACATGATTCAAGGATCAACCGAAAAAATACCTGGAAGCCGACTCGGATGATAACTTGAATTTCTTTGACCACGAACAGCCCTTACTCCAAGCTTTGTGTTTAGAATACCAAAGTCTTCCACGTCAATTCCTTGATTCCACGTAGACGTGTGTGTGGGCACACGTGAGACAAAACAGGTTTCTTAAACACTCGAATTTCTACAAACACCAACGCATGCACGATGAGGAATTTTTGGAGAAAAATATTTTGCTCTCTTGTTCCTCTATGAGAAATTCGGCCACACTCAAAAACTAGGGCTCAAAAAATTGCGAAAAAATTGTATCTACAATTTTCTATCTTTCTCATATTTAAAGAGAAGAAGTCAAACTTCAAAATAGAATCAAATCCTTATCTCCAATTTTGAATTTGGAACAAAAAATCCTTTCCCCTTATCCTCTTGGT